ATAACCTTCCTTTGGATTCAAATATTAGGAATGCGTGGTTGAACTTTATTTTTAATGTAGTTTCAGCTCACGCGAGTAAAACATTGAGCGTTTGTTCGCTTCATTTCACCGCAGATTACTTTGTAAACAAGACACAGGTGGACGCTGGATTTGCAGAGAGACTGAGATTTAAAAGCAATGCTGTCCCGTCTATATTGGATCCGACAGGAATGGCGCAGCACACTTATGTGAGTAAAAAATATTTGTAGCCTCATGTGTCACTATTGCTTTGTTAGAGATCTCTTGAGATGTCCTGATTATGTGTACGTGTCTAACCAAAGTCACAGAAGGCTCCAACTATGAAGGACGTAGCTTGTCAAACAGACACACAGAAAGTTAGTTTACTATGCAAAACTATTATCCAATCATAGCAGTGGCCGTTTACTTCCAAGTCTTCAATGCGACACGCCCATAAAAACGGCCTCAAAACCAGGGTAGAAAATAGCCTATTGCTTATCGATTTTGATGTTTTTGAATGTAAAAACCACGCAAACATCATAAGTGAACCTCAGACAACAGTATAAAATAATTCAAAAAGCCAGTTCATGACCCCTTTAAAGTCAGAGAGTACTGTACCTTCACAATCGTCACCGTAGTAACCTGGGATGCAGGTGCAGTTGTAGTTTCCAGAGCCAATGTACTCGCAGAGTTGACGCTTTTCACAACTCTCTCCATCGCAGGGAACTGTAAGTGAAATATTACGTGCAGATGATCTTTTAAGAATAAGAAAGGGAGGTAAAGCTTAGCAGGAACTTGAAGAACATTTACATTGCTGTCTGATTTGCAGCATCAGTAGTAGAGGAATTTTCCATGACAACTAACTCTGTTTTAGGGTAAAATAAAACATGTTATAGTGTATTCTGTAGGTATTACTTGGGCAGCAATGATCTAATACATTAAAACAATTTAATAAGTGATATATCTTAAATGAAATTAAGGCAAACCCATGAAACTGCAACAAAACCACACTGAAAAATATAAATTCTTAAGAGGTTGGTCAAGCCACTTCCACTTCAACCTCAGACAAGAGTTGACCAAGCATCTGATAACTATGCTGACATTATTTGCAAAGAAATCAGTTCAATTAATCAGACATGTCGTCTGAAACCATAGTTAGACAACTTTTTAAGAGCATTGGACATTGGAGAAATGCAAGCTTCTTATTGATACTGGAGTGAAGTTTTCTTTTCATGAGCAGACAAGAGTTGACCAGGCATCAAATAACTATGAGATGAGGCTGACATTGTTTGCAGTTCAATTAGTCAATGTGGTCTGAAGCCATAGTTATCTCAGAGTGTTCCCTCTTCTCTATTTATTTTTCAATTTCTTTGTGTCAGTCCCAGTTGGAAAGTGTTACAGCTAGTCAAATATAAACATCTTCTCTCATTAAACATTTTTCCCATTGCAAAGGGAAACAAAAACAAAGACTGGATAATGTGTTGTTGGCTGGCATTTATAAAGTGATATGGTGGGTTGAACTCAAGGGTAAAAGCATACCTGTCTCACAGTGGCTTCCAGTGAAGTTTGCTGTACAGGTGCAGGTGTAGTTATTCACCAGGTCTTCACACACACCTCCATTCAAACATGGCATGGATGCACATTCATTAATATCTGGATTCCAAAACACAAGATTCATGTCAGTGTAGAGAGTAATTTGTCAGTGTGAGAAAGGCAATCCTTAGAGCAGCTTGGTTTTGACTCTATCAATATCTTAAGAAATTTCAGGCAAGTGTATGGTTTCATTGACCGGGTGTCTAGTATTAACAGTAATCTGGTCTCATGTTGAAACAAGGGTTCAATATATGCAAAGACCAGCGGTTAGTTTCCAGAGTACTTCCCAACTGGGCTTGCATTTCATCAGTGGGAAGCCCAATTTGTTAAGCACAGTGCTGTCATGTCAGTGCTTTTTCCTAAAAAGTCATATCTAGATCTGCTCAGAGAACTCTGAATATTTGGAACATAAAACTTGACCCAAAATGAAAACACAGGGAAATAAATCAAAGTAACTGCTAATATATTTCAATTTACTAGCTGCCCTTAAAAGTATTGTACTATAGCAGTCTTCATGAAGTCAGTCTAGATAACACCATCTGTCAAATGAATAAGTGCGGGCCTAATGCGGAAAAAAGGAAATTTCCCAGGAGAAAGTCATGGCCTTTCAGTGACACTCCCAATATCCATACTCACCTGACTCGCATAGGAACCCAATGTAACCTGCTTGGCATACGCAGGTGAAGTTGCCGACACCCTGTATGCACTGTGCTCCATTGAGGCATGGGGTCTCTTGGCACTCGTCTATGTCTGCAGGCAATAAACACACACACACACTGGATATTTATTCAGCTGATTAATATATCCTCCACACCGTTCCCCTCACTCTGAAACTATGCACTTCTGGCTGTGAAAGGTATTAGAGGTTTGATACATCTCTGCAGGCTGGACTGTGGGAATGAGAAGGATGTTGAAGCCAGCAGAGTGCTAAGAGAGGAGGGGAGGACAAAATCAGTGAGGAGAGAGGCCACAGCACGAAAAGAAGAGCTTACCGAGTTCAAAACTCACATCCATTTTCACTCGCTCATTGGACAAATTTTTGAGAAAAAACCCACATTGGACCTTGTAGAAGTGCAAGCTTCTTATTGATATTGGAGCAATTGTTTTCTTTTCCTGAGCTTACATACAATGCATAATTGAAATTGGAGTCCGATAATTGAAGAATCTGGTATTTACCTGTCTCACATGTTGTCCCTATGAATCCCACTGGACACAGGCAGATGAAGTGGTTGATCTTGTCCACACATGTGCCTCCATTCTGACAGGGGTATGATGAGCACTCATCAACTTCTATCAAAACACACAAAATAACAACTAATATGACATGTGACTTTTATTAGATGTGCACACAGGACTGAAAACATGAGGGAATCCTAAAGTGCATGCGGTGGAGGAAAAGGTAATGATTTAACCACAGCAAAACATTGGATGGACTCTACTGTATGCGTATTACATACAGATGTGACCAGGGGAAATTCTCTCCCTTAGGTTGTCCCCCTGGCTTGCAGGGTGGAATTCTGTTTTTACAAGCTGACTTTCTCTTTCCTGGCAAGGACGAACACAGAGGATGAGTACGGGTTGTGAGGGATGGAAGGATTTCATCATTGGTTTACCTATCTGGCACCTGCGTCCAGTGAAGCCAGCCAAACACGAGCAAGTGAAAGAGGGATTTCCAGTGATGCAGTCATCAATGCAACGGCCACCATTTTGACAGGGCCTTAAGTTAGCACAGACCGACGCTGAGGAGGACAATGGAAAAGAGTCTGAGCAGACTAATATTTTCCTATTTGTACTGTCCATAATGTTTTCTAATTTGTTGGATACGCTGATTCTTTTTTTCCTTTCCTTTGGTGGTGTACCTGAGTCATTGCAGCTGCCCACTTGCACCTGAGAATCATCAATACGAAAGACCCATCGACCAGGATAGCCCACATTTGTGGTGGTTTCAACTTCAACAATATCATCTGTCCGAGAGCCTGGGATGTTGAAATAGCGCCTCCCATCGCCAGCATTAAAACCTGCCTAGGAAGAGAGTGAAAGTGGGGGAGCGTTCTCTCAGAGTGGATTCTTTCACATTTTAATGTCACTGAAGTCATTTCAGTCAAAACTAAAAATCAACGTGAGTAAATGCAATGACCTTACCTGTGCAGCTATGCCCATCAAGCCTGCTAGGTCACCACCACTGGTGGCATGCATCCCTGTTGTCCAATAAATATTGTGGTACTGGAAGATGGTGAAGGAGAGCTCACCATCTGTGATGAGAACTACTTGAAATGTATTGACCTTTAGAGAAGAGCAGAGAACAAGTCAGTTGCCACAACCAGTATTCATAATTTTCATTTACTTGTTAGATCAGAAATTCTCAACATTGACCCTTGAGGTCCACTGACCTTCAGAGTTTAATTTTGATTAAGGATAAACTCTGCTAGACAGTGGACCTTGAGGGCCAGACCTGAGAAGCCCTGTGTTAAATGGTCTTCTAGAGGAAACATCATAAAAATGCCATTGGTTTTGTTAGTTTAAAGGACATGAACTTGGTACCGGAGTTATTGAGCTGCCACCAAAAAATGTGACTTGATGCCAGGTAGCAATCAGCACCCATGTAGTGACAAACATAGGGAACTCAGGGAAGTAACGATTAATGTCTGCAGTGGCTCTTCTCAGAATGGCAGGATCTTTGCTTTCTCGATAGAAAACTTTTCCTGCCCGTCGGTTGTCTACATCTGCCCAGAATGGAGCCACCACCCTGCGGTCTCCAGCAATAGGGAAAGCCACTGGGGTGAACTGGGACACCTCCCTCAGGAAAGACACCAGGCCATTGTTGTTGACCTTGAAGATACAGAAAAGAAGAGCAAGTACATGCGCAGGGTTAGCAGAGTCAGGACACAAAGCTTCCCTTCAGCACACCTTCCTGGCACTCATTCCCAGATTCCACTGCTGAAGCTTAACCACACCATGAGCTGCATGTTTGGACATTCACTTTCTGAGTTGCACAAATAACATATTTCATCTCCATGAAATTCTTTCCACACTCAAGTATACCTGACGACAGAGACTGGGTTGGTTCACTCAGGAGTAATGCAGAGTCAAGAAGTCGTAGACCAACAAAAATCAAATGATTTTATAAGAACTTTAGCACAATTCAGTTTCTTGTAGTAGATATTGCGAATGGCCTGGAACAGTAATCGGATGGCTATGATGTATGAAACATGCTGACTGGGAATAAGCGGAAACAGGCTGAGGTGTCCAGCAGTATGTTGACACATGAGAGTGAGCAGTAGCATTGCAGGATGAAAGAGTGAGGCAGGCTCCTGTGGCAGATGTATCTATTTCCCATCAGGGAACAGACAGTTGCCTTGTTCTGCCAGACATCCATGTCTTACAGCTGAGAAAACCGGAGCACTTTACAGACACACATACGCATTCTGACACACCTGCCCTGGCTCTTGTCCACTAGAAGTGGTTTTAGAGGGCGAGGCCTTTATAACTGCCTCTAAAGTAACCACAGAGCCCAACACTTGATTTGCTGACCACTGGTTTTGCTCTGTTGACTGAGTCTACTCTTGTGATGAATGTCCAGCCAGACTGATGTAGAAGAAACCTTAGAGTATTCACAGGGGCACAGTGTTATCCAACTGATATGAATATGCATGCAAATTCACTAAACATGCCAACAGGGGTGTGTGAAATTATTCCATAGCTTTCTGCTTCATTATTTAAGTGTAGGTTTTGCAACAAACGTTCCTCAATAGTTCTCCTGTGGACAGACTGGAAATTAGAAATCCTTTCTAAACTGTGACTCATCCAAACTGAGTTTTATTAGAAAAATACTATCAATCACCTCTCTGCCCCACATCAGATTGTCACAGCACAGAGCAACAATGAGAGAGTGTGTCTAATGCTAACTTATGCTAGTCAGTTTGCACCTGCACAGTCACACCCCTCTCCAGGTGTTCGCTCCCCAGTGCCAGCTTCCCTGTCCCATCATTTCACTCATCTATACCCAGTTCTGGCAGCAGCAACAGCAACAGCAACAAAGGCAATGTCAGACACATGGCCTTTCTTCTCCCCTCCCCATGTGTATGGAAACCATAATTCTGAGGCCTTTGCTGTAAAAACAGTAGAGGAAGTTTTGTTTGGCCTGACCCGGGTGCTTGGTTAATTGGCCGACCGCAGTCTTCCCCTCTCTGCATCAGCGTGCTGTAGCAAGAGTGTGGTTAACATGGAGAAGCAGAGTGAAGCCTGCAGGGCCACAACTCTGGGGTCATTGAAAGGAGCCCTGTGAGAGCAGGAGAATGCAAGGAAAGACAAAGAGAGAGAAGCGGGAGAGGTGGAAAGATGGAGGGATGGAAAGTGCAGGCACAGTTCACTGACAGATACAAACCCTTGACAGGAACCAAAGTATGATTTAGAGTAAATGTTTTACAGAAGACCAAAACACTTGAGAATGGGCTGCAGTACTAAACCGTTGCATGCTAATGATATAAGCAGTAAACTGGGAAAAGAAAGTTGTACAGCCAATAGGTACAGCAGTGTTTTGACCGGAGCAAGCATTGGAGAGCTAGTAGCAACTGTTTGCCGAGGTAATGAATGGAAATTGCTTACCTTGCTGCTAAATTAGCAGCGGAAATCTCACTAAGCACTACATTAGTTATTATTCTCTGGTGCTGTAATATGTCCTGGCATTTGTTCTGATCTATTTGCAGCATCTGGAAGAGGTTAAACTTGCTGCTTTTCTTCCAAGTCCTAATATCTTATTAAAAGTAGGATGGAGTAATTGGATCTAACCACAGACTAAAAGTGAATAAAACAATCATAGCCTAGTATAAACAGGTACTGTAAGCTATCTGGGATGTAAAATTCAGTCAGGTGTAAACTGTAAAACTGGGGGGGGTCATCAATTGCCGTCATCAATTACGAAATAATTGATAAGTATATAAGTAAAGCAATGTTTTTATTTGTTTCTTTTGTTCTATTTGTTGTTCTACAAGGTGTCACTTCTTTATTTTTCGGTTATTCTTCGCCAGATATATCACAAGTTTTCATAGGATGGTTTTCTTTGGAGCTAAGTCATTTTAATACTAAAATAAATGTTCATCTGGGGAAAAGGATGCCAAAACAAATCCCTTCATAAAAAGGTGACCAAAGTTCAGCTTGGCAAAACATTGAATCTTTTACTTGCTCTTAGTCGTAAAATGAGGAAAAAGCTGAAATGACCTTGGCTCCTCTTGCTCCACGCCCTTCTGCGGCTGTAGTGGGCATCTTTATCGTGACTGGCATTCCACAGAATGCCAAACCATGACCCTCTGTATGGCACTGCACTCATTCATATCTTATAATAATATACAAAGATTTTTACTATTCTTGGAAAAATAACTTAAGCCCAGTATAGGGAAATGTATTTCAGTGGCTGCCCCTATTGAATTAAGTCCAAATATTAGCTCAAAGCTTAGCATAACATATGACTTATCTTGACATAAAGCATTACATGCTAAGCTACCAAGCTCTTAACAAAATCACACATATGTCCTCACACACTTAGCTAATATTTGGGCTACTTAAGTGAAAAGGAGGAGGAGAAGGAGAGAAGCAAAGAGGATAGACAGAGAAAGAGATAAAGAGAAAAATCCCTCAAGGTTGAAGATTCCCTTTCTATAGTTGCGCAAACATGAAGTGTTGAAGTGCTGAGGATGAGCTTTAGCAGATGTGCTCTCAGTGTGCCGTGAAACCTCAAATCTTTCTGTCCCCATCATTTTCCCTATTCTGCTTTAACTCAACTGTTGGATGAACTATTCTATGCCTAAAACAATTATAAACATCGTTTTTATAGCTTCCCATACAAACAACTTGTTGGGCCGTTTCTTAACTTGAGGTCCCCGAAAATCAGTTATGGTGTTCTGTTCCCCATCAGAACTTACACCAGTTTAATTCAAAATAATTTCAAACTTTCTGTTTTTTTTTGCATTTGCTGTGGAAGTCTGTGTCGTGCTAGCCTTGGATCTCATCCTTTCTGCTCTTCATCCCAGTCATTCATAAGGTTAGTAGTTAATTGAGGGCTTGCGTTGTTTGGCATCCCTGAGACACTTTACAGATGCATCTGGGTTCTGTTAAATGGATTCTTTTTTCTTTGATAGAGCAGCTGGAGAGGTCCATTGGGAAGACCCCTGAACTCCTTATCTGAGACTGAAGAAGAGGAGGATGAGGGAAGGGTGAGGGTAAATGAGGGGAGAGAGGAGCTACATGTGAAATCTCTCAGACCCAAACAAAAGAACAGAATTGTGGAACAAGAAAAAACACATTTTGGACAATTCTGGGCTGATAAAATGTCAAGCAGAGAGCACATATCACTGTGGCATTATGACCATCCCTGGAAGTCCTGAATGACAAAGAACCTGCTTTCATAATTCCTAGCAGCGAAACTCAAATATACATAATAGAGCATAGAGCAATATTTTTAATACAATTTTTCAGTCTAATAAAAGTTTCTAGTTAAAACTGAAAGAATTTGTTTTTTGTTTAGTTGTCAAGAAGTGAACAAATCCCTGCTTTCACAATAAAAAAATACCATGCTTGAAAGTCATGCTTAAAGCTGAGGCAGAGCTGAGTATTTTTGAGTTAGTTATAATATTATAAATGGTATTCAAATTATCGTGAAGAGGGAGTGAATGATAAAAAGTGAGAAAGATGACTGGGGGTGGACAGAAAGAGTAGGTCAGAAAGGTAAACATGCAATAGCAGGCGGTACTGATCCTTCTTTTCACTTTAGGGAAGCTCTTACAGTAATACCCTGAGACAACTCTCAAGAACCACCTTAAATTGTTTGGTTCAAGAGCTTTTCTGTTTTTTCAAGGCCTGAAGGCTTGGAATGCCCTCCCGGAAGAAATTATCCATGAGGATCTGCCCTTGTGTACTCTCCAAAATCTCACCTGTTCAAAAGCAGCTCCCTTGTGGAAGAGATCAACATGTGGCTATAGCGTGCAATAAAGCTGAAGTGTAATTGATTTTGGTTCAAGCAGCTTGAGTGCAATACAGAAATTATGACTGCAGTTTTAATGCTGTCGCATGCCTCAATGCACCAGTGACTTGCAAAATCTTACTCTGATCGACCTGCAGTTACCTCCCAGTTTGTACTCGGTGCACCCTTTCTGTAGTTACCACCCAACTGTACCTCCAGTCGTCTTCTGCTCTATCACATTGAGGTTATCTAATTTTAGATCTTCACTGCTATCCGCAGCAGGTCTTATCTTGTCTTCAATTCACATTAATATTTATATTGTGCTCTGAGATATGAGATACCACTCAGGGTAACGAGCAGATGCATCGCAAGTTCTGTAGACAACCATGTACTATTTCAGCAAGCTGCATTTGCCAGAACATCTAAGTGACTTCATGACTTTAAAATAGGAAACACAATATTGCACCTCAAATTTGTTAGGGCACAGTTGTTTGAATGACATGTAGTGGCTGAGAGAGAGACTGACTGTGTGGCATGTCTGCTCTGTCAGTCGTCTGCTGCATTTGGATTGTGATCTCATTTATCCATTCGCTTGTAGCCCAGTCTGGAAACCTAGCCTCTGTTGCCATGGTACCTCAGTCAAGCTGGGCAGGGTGTTGGGGATGGAAAGTTGGTAGTAAAGATGGGTGCCCTGGGTGGAGCAGCATATTTTGGGAGGCAAAATGACTGGGATGCTGCATCAAAACAGATTGTGTCGATTTACGAGGATGGAGCTTCCTCTGCACTGAGGTTGAAAAGTGTACAAGACACAGATCAAAGCCCCACTCGTCCAACCAAAAGCAGGACACAGCTGATCAAAGCACCGAGACCTGTCAGAGCACTCGCCACACTCGTTTTCTATCACTGGTTCTCCTCATGACAGTCATCCTTCTCGTTTCTTCTCTCCCCCTCACGCTCTCAAACCACAGTTTAAGCAAATATGTTGCAGCAGCAATATTTCATATAATGAATAGTTCAGTCACTGTGTTAAAACTGTGAGGTTCATTATCCAATCTCAAGCTGTACCTGGCTCTGTTTCCCTCAAAGACACATACACAAACCAATTAATCTACTGAATGAAATACCTGATTCTCCTGCACAAGACTCACACACTTTCAAACATACAGTCTATACTCACATAGAGTCCCGCGTGCTGTTCTCCGAAGAAAGGGAAAGCCACAGAGATTGCTACCAGTCCTGAACCCCCATCATCTTGCTCGATGGTCTGGGAGTCACCCTCATCCAGGCCAAATGGGTAGAACTCCTGCAGGGGTACAGCCGGCTCCAAGCCATGAAGCAAAATGAGAAGCATGCACATGGAGAGCACCAGTCTCCTCAGCCACCCCATGACCTTGTCTGCACAGGGATGGAGAGGAGAGGACTAATATCCAGGACACTCAGAGAGGGCAACAAGACAACTTTAAACCCCAGTGCCAAATGCTCAACCAATGATCCTCCTTGTCTTTCTTCTCCTTGTTTCTGTAAATTTTCCTTGTTTGGTTTCTAATTCCACCCTTTGTTTCCTCTTAGATCTTCTCTCAGCCCTGGTACTTGGGCTGTTGGTCTATAACAAGGGGGTAGATTCCTTGCATTCTGTGTGCTGCTGGGTGCTCAAGAGCTGCTGTGCTCCGTGCCGCTCACTGAAATGAACAGAGTGAGAGAGAGAAAGGAGAGGGAGCAGAGTGATTCGGCTCTATTTTT